TTGGAACTCAAACTTCAAGACCAAGAGTCCTTAACTTTTGAACTTGTAAGTCAAAGTTAAGGACCTATTGTCCTTAACTTTTGAACTTGTAACTGTAAGTTAAGGACTGCGTGTCCTTAACTTTTGAACGTGTAACTGTAAGTTAAGGACTGTCTGTCCTTAACTTTTGAACTTGGAAATCAAAGTTAAGGACCTATTGTCCTTAACTTTTGAACTTGTAACTGTAAGTTAAGGACTGCTTGTCCTTAACTTTTGAACTTGTAACTATAAGTTAAGGATTGCCTGTCCTTAACTTTAGAACTTGTAACTGTAAGTTAAGAACTGTCTGTCCTTAACTTTTGAACTTGGAACTCGAAGTTCAGGACCAAGTGTCCTTAGCTTTTGAACTTGTAACTATAAGTTTAGGATCCATAACGTAGCATAAAACCAAACTTTATTTGTATCTTTTCACAAAAAAAATAAAAATAATAATAATTAAAATTTACATATAAGATTGATGTCAAATTACACAACAGAAGGCTAATAACAAAAAGAAACAACTAAAAAAATAAAAGACTACAGAACCTAACCAACTAAAAGAAAAAGAAAAATAAATAAAACTCAAAAAGTTTGTTTTCTAAAGTTTTCTGTTCTAATTTCCTGCTAAAATCCCGAAAAGTCCTTCTTTGTTCCACATAAGGATGTCAAGACTTATTTTGTCAAATAGTTGGCAATACTTGAACGACCTGCTAACTGCCAAAAGATTTGAGGATTAGAAGAAGCATTGAAAAAGAAGAACAAGTGGCGTTGGAAAATATTCTTGGCGGAACAGATCAGCTAGGGTTTGGGAAGGAAAAGAGATAGAAGAAGGGTAACACCGTTTTTTCATATTATTTTTAATAGACTAGTGGCTACTTTTGCTCAACATTAAAATTGCTGGATAAAAAGTAAATACCACTTTAAAAAGTGGCTACCTCACGCAATTTTTACTTTGTTTGCTTAGCTGGAAAATAAGGACAAATATAATACAAAAAGGTAACAGCGAGGGTACTGTTTTTGCCAACTTCTACTGGAGAGTATAGTTTAGTAGCATAATAGTGTTTTATTGTTTAGTGGCAAAAATAGCCTTTTCCCTTTGAAAGATGTCGCGCCAAAATACTTGACGTTGTATACTCGAAGGTTTTTTTTGGAAAATTTTCAGGAAACCATACTCGCCAAGCCCGGTGCAAGGAGCTTTGACCGAGGAATTTGCTAGTGAAGGAAATGGATCTCAGATCTTTCATGTAGGAAATTACTAGCCCAACCAACTCAGTCAATCCTTACGGGCATAAGGGAATTATAGTACTTTATAGGTACTCACTTACTCAACTAGTGATAAGTAGAAGCCAAGTCAAAAGAAGTTATATATGTAAGCAGATATAGAACTGTCGAGACTTAAATGAACTCTTCTCAAGATAACATATCAGACCAATCAGGTCTGTATTAATACTAAATTAGTTGATATTGACAGTGAGTTCATTATGCTCTACTTCAATCCGTTTCATTTCATGTAATGCGTGTAGGGGATTCATCATATTTCAACTATTTGTATAATTGTATTATTGCAACCTCAAACATAGTAAGTTTCTCCCAACTTGAAACTGAATATGGATATAGCTCATATATGCAGAGCTTGTAAGATTATAAATGGCGAGTTGATACTACCACATAGAGGTGGCAAAATGGTTAAAAAAAAATAGTTATCCACCCATATTATCCATTAAAAAATGTGTTGGATAATAAACTTTTTAAAAAGGTGTCGAATACGGATAAGAACCATATTATCCACTTAGAAAATAGTTAACCAAATAATTAATGTGTTTACCTTTTACATTTGTAAAGCTTCAAATTGGGGTTCCTCAAGTTTGGGAGACTAGGAATTCTCCCATAAGTGATCATATTCAAGAAAACATGGATAATATAGATATCCAGTTTTTTATCCGTCTCAAATACGGGTTGGGCCGGATAATGTGTCCGCTTTTTGAATTACCCATTTTTGACCCGCTCATTTACGACCGCTCATATCCGACCCGGTCCGACCGTTTGCCACCCCTACTACCAGAGTGCCAGAGAAATATACACGGTGATGCACAACACAGTATTACGAGGATACATCATCTGGTAAGGCAATTTCTTCTTGAAAATACATAACTAAAATAAAGAAAAAGAAAGAAAGAAAAAAGAGGCTTCAATTATCACTCAGGAATGTTACATGGTACCAAATCTGCAGATATTTCATCATTCCATAGGCTTGCAGTGAAGATGACTTTTGCTTGCTTCAGCTTCTTCTTGTCCCAGACAGTAATATGATGCAAACCTCTCATGGAGATATGTATGGAGCTGTTTGCCTCTCATTTCCTGATAAATGTTGAATCTTGAGGAGCATGGTAATGAATTCTGAGACCTAAAACAAACTGGACTATTCTTTGAATCCTAACAAAAGGGGCAAACTTATGCTGTCATATATATCCTGCACTGTCTCATCCCTATTGTCTCCTAACACGCATCAAGCTGCATAACCTCTATTCAGCGTGTGGCTACTATTTTATCTTCCCTAACTTACAAACATCAAACTGAATCAGATCTCTCCTACAAAGCGTCATTACTTTCTTTTCTTGAGTCCATGACATTGTCAACATTATGACTATCGCCTTCTTCTTCCTTAGACGATCTTTCTTCTGTTTCTTCTCTGGTTTCTGGCTTTGGATTTGATTGGCCTATTTGAGGTTCCTCAGAACATTCAGAGTTTCTTTGATGAGATGTTTCATCAGCATCTTGTTCACTTGAACTTGTCTCAGTAGTTTCTTCTCTCCTATCAGGCGTTTCTTCAGTGTTAGCTTTAGTTGGAGTAAGGATAGATTGGCGGCAGAGGGGGCAGGTGTTATGAGTGACTAGCCAGTGGTCAATGCAATCCATGTGAAATGTGTGCCCACAAGCAGGTATCTGTTGAAGCTTATCCTCTGCTTCGTAATCGCCTAAGCACACTGAACATCTGTCCCAGGAAAGATCAAACTTCATCAGAAAACAATGTTTAAATATTGAGTTATGAAACTTCTTCATACTTAAAAAATAAACAGCTATTTTCTAATCTCTCCAACATGTAACTGAATATTCATAATAAAAAAGCACACGGTGTTGCATTTCCCAGCAACAATTGCTATAGAAATCACAATCGGAATTACTAAAGTTGTGGGAATATCTTGGTTGTAAGACCAAAAATGAAATTAGCTGCAAGTACAAGAACATGAAGGTAGAACAAGCAAATGTCTAGAACCAAAACTCAGCAAATATCAAAGGTTATTCATGATAGTGCGTTTTATGGAATTGAGTCCCATTTTTACATGATGACAGATTGACTGTTTTTAACGAAATTGTTTTAGATCCAGCAGTGATTGTATGTGAGGACCACTAAAAGATTTTCACAATTTTTCAGCCATCAGAAGATCCACATATCATTGTTTGTGGTGTATAACATCAAGAGCACATTTTCAGAATATGACAAATCTGCTGCCAGTTCTGCAAAGTTTACTGAAATCATTAATTATTGATGGAATATATTTACCTTAGCATAATTTTTTATGGTACTTAATTTCCAAATAGGCAAATACACCTTCAAAGCAGGCAAGTGACTCTGTAGCTGGTCCTCTAAATCAGTGTAGGAATAACAATGGCTCTAGAAAGTTAGAGAATTTCGCTAACATATCTTTGAAAAGGTATTTAGATTCATATGGCACGTTTTCATCTATCAAGAAAGTGTGAAGTTTCATTCTTATCTCAAGATTACATTCTGTAATTTCCTCTCTGCAGATGTATCTAATATTGCTACCAAAGTTAATTTGAGTCGTTGCTTTGACTTGGAGATGCCACGAAGGTCATGAACTTGACCTAGCTCACTTCCCACACAAGAGAGAGCAAATTAGGGAAAACGCTCACTGATTTGGGAGATGTAAGATGTAGTGATTTCATTTGGCATCTACTAGAATTCCAAACTCCGAAATGTATTTGATTTTACACGGTATACACCATGATCTGCCTTTATCCTACCTACCTACTCGTTGCACTGTCAACCTGTACAGTATGTTATGATTTGTAACTCTCAACCAGCTATATCTTGGAGATAAAATATTCTGTTATTTCTCAGAATAATCTGTTAGAAGCTTTACAACAGACCATTGACTTATTTGTAATTGTACCATCACCTATATTGAACTCCACTACTACGCCAAAACAAGTTACATAACGACTACCTCCCTGCCATGACTGAAAGAAAAAAACCTATATTCCTACTCTTCACAATTAAAGGCTGAGTTCTACATCTAATTTGCTGCAGCTTGTACTGAAAAATCAAAAAACGTTGCATTCAGGGCGGAGTTCGAAGCCTGAACGCGGGTTCAGTCGAACCGCATAGTTTTTGCTCAGTCAGTGTATTTGTGTCAAAAAATTCATTAAATATGTACAAATATTAAATTTAGAACCCAGTTAGTAGCTCTTAAAATTTTTGTTCTAAAATCCAAAACCCATAAAGTTGAAATCACGGCTCTACTTTTGTGTGGGGAGGAGGCAGAGCCCTATTTAGCCATCTCACATCAGGTTCAATTGAACCTACTACTGTCGGCTTGGACCATGTATACATAAGCTATGTTGCGCGGACTCTCCAAAATGCTTCCGCACCCGTGTCGGATCCTCCAAAAATACACTACTTTTGGAGGATCCGACACGTATCCGGCGACATTTTCGGAGAGTCGGAGTAACATAGATAAGCAACGCAAAAGAATTTTACAAATAGACATAAAAATGTATATAAACGATAAACTGCATCCCTCTGTACCTATTACTTTAAATTTTAGATCTGCTGGTTGGAAGTCTATACTTAAAAATATACTAGCCAATACTTACATAATTTACATACAAAAATTTCAGGCAGGCAGAAACTTACTGAGTGTCATTGACAGAGAAACTTTCCTTGAACACAATTATAGGCAGCATTTCCCTCACCTCTTTCTTCAATCCCAATTCACACTGGTAAAATACAACCAGAATCAACAAAGACTAAAAATAATAAGATTTAATCTTAAATAATAAGAAAATCAAAATTTCCTCAAAAAAATTGTTCCTTTACATACTTGTGACAGTTCATCAGGTTCTGTAGCAGAGTCCAATGTGGAAGTCCTCATTCGCAGAGAGGACCAATCGACTCTCTGACGACGAAGATAAAATAAGTAGAATAACAATAATAATATAAAAGCAAAGAAAATAGGTATTGAAAAGATGAAAGCTTGATAAAGCTTTAATTGAGCTAAAGCTTCAGAACAACAATTAGAAGATGCATTATTACTAGTAATTCCACTGCTTTCTTGTAGATCTGGGTACCCTTTTCCAGCAACAGACATCACTGAAAATGCTTCAATGGTAGTCAAATGTGACTTAATTTTACACTTAAATGGGAATTTTAGGAACACCCAGATGGAAAAATGGAACCAAAATGCAGTTTTTAGAATCAAGAAACAGCCAATTTTAGACAAGAGAAGGTGAGAATAAATGACAAAGAAAAAGATTGGATGAGAAAGAAAAAGTTAGCAGGCTAATATATATAGTAATGGAGGGGGACATGTGATGGTTTGAACAATTGGATAGTAGTAGAAGAATTGAGCAGTTAAACAGAAAAGGTAAAAACTCATTTCCTAATTAAATGCAATAAAATCTGGATTTTGGAACAAGACTGCTTCTGCTGACTGGATGGGGCCTATATACATGACAAAAATAAGTTTTTTGCCTCCGTAAATTTAGTTTGGTGGTCGCATACCACCAAAAGTTGCAGTGGCATGATAAATATATTTTTATTTTTAATTAGATATTTTGGGTTCTGAGTTTTGAAAATGAAATCGCTAATTATTGATTTACCTTTAGGTGAGTTAGTTGAGCCTAAAGCAGTTACCAAACATGGAATGAAAACCTAAAAAAATAGGATCTTTAGCATTTAGACATAGATTTTGCTGAAACTTGAAAAAAGAGTTTTTGAAGTTGCGTTAAAAAATAATTTTTGCAAGTTGAAGTTGTGTTTGGATATGTATTTTATTTGGAAAATACTTGAAGTTTTATGTGTGGAAGAAAAATTTTCACCCAAAAAACTGTCATAAACCGATTTGGGAACTTGAAAAAAAAATCAATTTTTTTTCAAAAACTTCTCATGTTCCATTGACAAACAGTATTTTCAATTTTTTTTTTTTTTTGAAAAAATGTATCAAAAATCTATGACTTAAGGTGCTTAGTAAAGCCCAACGAAGTAAGTTTGGAACTTTATCTTCAATAGTGTGTACTAAGTTAAAATATCTCTTGTTTTATCTAGCCTCTCCATTCATGATCTAGCAAAATACTGTGATAATTTTCTCCAATAAAATAGAAATAATGCTATTTCCATTATCTATCTTTCAAGAAATGTATTGAGCATCATATGAGAATATTTGGCATTATAAACTACGTATTGTCTTTGAGTAAGACTGTTTGAAATAATTAGTTATACTATCGCATTTGCATCTATACCCGTTTTTTGTGCCATATTTTAACTTGTGCCCGCTTTGCAAAAAAAATTGCAAGTGTACCCGCTTTTTCACATAACTTCAACCCACGGGGCTGAAGTTTTTCTTTTGTACTGGAAAACTTCAGCTGAAGTTTTTGTCTTTGTAATCGGAAAACTTAAGCTCTAGAGCTTAAGTTTTCCAGTTACAAAATAAAAACTTAAGCTCTAATAAGTTTTCCAGTTACAAAATAAAAACTTAAGCTCTAAAGCTTAAGTTTTCCAGTTATAAAATAAAAACTTAAGCAGTTTTCCAGTTATAAAATAAAAACTTAAGCAGTTTTCCAGCTTAAGTTTTCCAGTTATAAAATAAAAACTTAAGCTCTAGAGCTGAAGTTTTTCTTTTGTACTGGAAAACTTCAGCTCTAGAGCTGAAGTTTTTGTCTTTGTAACCGGAAAACTTCAGCTCTACAGCTGAAGTTTGCTAGTTATAAATAAAAACTTCAAGCTCTAGAGCTGAAGTTTCTATGTTGTAACTAGAAAACTTCAGCTCTAGAGCTGAAGTTTTTGTCTTTGTTTCTTGTACTGTTTCTTGTACATTCATCAAAGGAATTACATGGAAATATCTAGCAATTTTTGGCGGATAGTCTTGAAATATCATGTTTAAGTAGCTACATATTATTTCCCGTTAAAATTTGTTAGAATGGTCAATGAAAATCTGACGATTACATATCGTGCAAAGCTAAATCCAGAAAATCTATCTTCTTCAGTTACCGCAAAGCATGAAACTAGCAAGTTCCAATCTCATATTCTATTTGTAAAGGCTTATCTCAAACACTAACTACAGTGAAGAGCAAGAACTGTGGTATTGAAGAAGAAGTTGAAGAAGAAGAAGAAGAAGAAGAAGAAGAAGAAGAAGAAGAAGAAGAAGAAGAAGAAGAAGAAGAGGAGGAGAAGGGGAGGAGAAAGGGAAGCTGAAGTTTTTTAAAAAGTGGGTATGGGTGCAAACAGAACAAAGCGGCTACAGGTTAAAAGTACGCCTCACCCTTCAGACTATTGTATTGGTAAACTTCGGTCTTATCGTATGACACGATAAAATAATGACACGTAGTAAAAACGGCTCCGAACCCATAGGCATAAAATCAGGACCGATACATGCATACGAAGCAGGTCAAATATTTCGGTGTCAAACTTAGGCCTCATTTGTTTGCAATTAATGGAGGTCTGAATCTTAATCATTCAGATCTCAGACATTAAGTGCGTTTGTTTTTAAAGTCTGAATCTTAATTATTCAGATCTTAATCATTAAGTGTGTTTGTTTTTTTTACTTAACAACCACTTAATGGGTCTGAATAGGTCTGTATGATTAAGATCTGTAACAGAGACTTAATTTCATTAAAATGCTATCACATATTCATTATTAACTGCCGCCACTCCCTACCATTATCAACTACCACCATGCCACCACCACCACTACCACCACCACCACCATTATTGACCATCACCATCCACCATCCCACTACTCCGACCACCATCATTCTCACTCACAGTCAATATTTATCCACCTCAACTACCACAACCAACCACCACATCACCATTAACAACCGCAGCCGTCACCGCCTAGCATTATAACCTACTACCACCTTCCTCAATCACAAACCACCACCCGCCATTATTAACTATCACCACCTACCACCACCATCATCAATCATAATTGCCACCACTACCAATCACTACTAGCTACTAGCATGAACCACCATCATCCACCAAAACTACCACCAACCACCGCCTTTAGTCGGCATTCACCCGTTAGCCATCACCACCAACAACTATCATATTTTAAAAAACTATATATTTTATTGATAGAATATTGGATTTTTTTCAAATAAAGATAAATTTTATGCATTCAGATGTTAAAAATCAAACAGTCTTAATTTTTAGTATTCAGATCTTAATACACATCTTAATATATTCAGATGTATATCCAGATTCAGATGTCTTAATCTTAATACACATCTTGATAATCAGATGTGTATTCAGATTCAGACGTCTTAATCTTAAAAAAAAAAAAACAAATAAATGAGTGTACTTGGAGCCTCACTGAGATTATAATCCCCGTCCGTTACACAACTACAGTTACGTTGAATAGGATCTCGCCGCCCTACTAATCACATACTAGGTATGCAGGCTAATAACTCAAAACAGCGTCGTCCCAATTAGGCTATAAATACCATGCTTTATTCACTTATAACGATCATCTAATTTACATACAACACTTTGGGCTAATCATTGTGTATTTGTTTTATTCTTTGGCAAGATTACCATTCTCTTGGTGTCCTTCATTGATTGTAATCCAACTCAATATAGCCACGTCCAAGATGGATCGATGATCAATAAGATTTCTTTTATCTTAATCTTTGCTCTAATTATCATTACTGCTCTTCGATTTTCTATACGCGCTTTAGATTAATCTGTTTGTTAGTGGTTTTAAAATATAAATTCAATTATTTATTCTAAAATGAGTTTTTTAATTAAACAACTATGAGAATAATGTGTCAATTATCCAAAAACTATTAGGAACAATCTAGTTTAATTAGGATCAACTTATTCATGCACATGTTTCCCGTTTCACTTTGTTTATTTATTCCAAAAAGGGTTAATATATTTATCCTTTGGTATCTTGTCCTCTTTCCTTGTATTGTGTGTTTGAGAATATAATGTAGGTTAAAGGTCACTTATTGATTACAATTTGATCTTCAATTAAGACATATATGATATAAATTACTTGATGCGCGAAAATATTGAAAAACATGAAAGTTTGTTAGGTGGGAATTAGACCTTAGTATTATTTTTTTCATTTTTTTTGTCTGTTCACGAGATAGTGTTTACATTATAAAACTAAATATTACTAATAAAACGATGGTTTTCTTTAATCACACGGAAAAATAATTTTCTTCTTCAATTAACTAACTTTTAGTTTGTGAGAACTCAACATAGATCTTATTCCTAGCTACTCTGGGAGTTATATTTAAATGAGCTATTCCTAAGATAGAACACTCTATTCTTTATTCATTTTTTAAACCTTTCTACTCCTTTTAATTCTTTGAGTTACTAGTAGCAATACCACTACATGTCAAAGGAAGAACTGAGCTTCACGAAACTATAAGGGTGTGTAGGTATGATGCAAGTTATATTTAAAGAAAAATGTTTTCAGGTAGCGAAATATCGTTCGCTTTTTTTACCCTTACAAAATAGAGTTTGCACTAGACAAAATAATCATTTAATTATTATCCTAATATTTAGTAAAATTTGATTATTTGAACAAGGTAAGAAGTCCTAAAATTAAGGAATTTAAAGTAAATTAATATTCTACCTTACATAAACTTTTTTCTTTATTTTAATTGTATATGTAACATAATAATATTTCTTATATGTTACTTTTCATGAATGTATATTCTGTGAAAAAAGAGTAAATTAATTAAATTAAAGTAACTAACTCATCCTGCGATTTTTATGCTAATAAAGAGCACGTTAAGAAAAGTATGAAAAACACAATTATGATTTAAAAAAAATATGGAAGCATCAATGATAATTCATATTTAAGGTAAGAGGTAGGCAATATTTTAGATTTTGAAGAACAATTAGGGCACGCTTTTTCCTTTGAATAATAGAAAGACCTGGAACTGGAAGTGTACTCAAATTTTTTGTCCTTTTTTATTTGTTGTACAACGAAGCAATTACAACAACAACAACAACATCAACAACAACAACCACCCAGTATAATGCCATAAGTGGGGCCTGGAAAGGGTAGTGTGTTCGTATACCTTACCTATGTAAGCGCTACTGTGTTAAAACACAAATTCAGAAAAAAAACTGTTAGAAAAATAAAAGAAACTGGAAAAACAAAAGAGTTTAAGAAATATTCCGAGTCCACAATTTGCTTGTGTGTCCTTAAGGAATTTTAACCCGCTCACACGTTGCCAAGGTAATGGATTAAATCCTCCCAGGATAAAACAGAATAAACCTTCCCGCAACAGTGGCAATACAAACTGCAGGATACCAACGAACTTAAAGAACGGAGCAAAATCACACTTACGAATTTGAGAGAGAGAGACTGCGAATTAGAATGCAGTATATTCAGAAAGAAAGAAGTTCTGGAGTATTTTTCGTGTGTAGAAAATGGAGCCTTGCCTCA